TGATCGCTGCGTGATACATACACATAACAAGATTTCACATGTACTCCATAGATTGGTACAAATAAAAAAAAGTAAAAGAACATTGATTGCATCCCGGTACAGACCTGCTCCTGACAGTGTGCATTAGGAGGAGCGCTGAGCAGGCCCTGGGTATTGACTGACTCGACCCCCAGTAAGCGTCCTCCAGGCAGGCGCAGGCAGGGGGAGCTCTGCCACCACTCCTATTCTGCGGTCCGGGAGCACCTCTTGCTCCCAGGTTCTCACAGCTAACTCGTGGAGGAGCTTGAATTGAACCCAGGAGGTCTGGCCGCCCTGCGCCACTTCACACGTGAAGGTGAAATTTGTTTTTTTTTGAAAATAATATTTATTGGGTTAATTTTTAAAATTATAAAACCAATACCTACTCTTTGAAAAAATTTTCAAGCAATGCAGTAGGGGCTAAATAAGAAGTAGAGGTCCCTTTCCCCAGAATTTACCATCATATCATTTTTCTTTTTTCTTTTTTTTTTTTTTTTTTGAGACAGAATCTCTGTTGCCTGGGCTAGAGTGCCGTGGCGTCAGCCTAGCTTACTGCAACCTCAAACTCCCGGGCTCAAGTGATCCCCCTGCGTCAGCCTCCCGAGTAGCTGGGACTGCAGGCATGCGCCACCATGCCCGGCTAATTTTTTCTATATATTTTTAGTTGTCCAGCTAATTTCTTTCTATTTTTAGTAGAGACGGGGTCTCGCTCTTGCTCAGGCTGGTCTCGAACTCCTGAGCGCAAACGATCCTCCTGCCTCGGCCTCCCAGGGTGCTAGGATTACAGGTGTGAGCCACCGCGCCTGGCCTAGTGTATCATATTTCTAGAAGTTTTAAAAACATATATTCATGTGTGTATGTGTATATATAAAAAACACATAGCATTCTGTAAAGCCCTTTTAAATATTTTTAGGTTATAAGTCATTTATTTCTGATTTGCTGTATTGAAGTTGGTAAATCATCAGTTTTTCATAAACTAACATTGTTTTGCTCCCTCAGAATGGAATCAGAGACACGGTGCCGCTCCTCTGTGTTGCGTTGTAGATGTGATCACTGAGCATGATCTTTGGACAACATTCATTTCTAACTCAATTTCTGATTTTTTTTAATCTATAGGTAAAAGAACTAATGTTTTTGTTAGTCTCTACATTATTTAGTTTTAACAGGATTAAGATCTAAGCACAATAATTATTTTAAGATTTAGCAGTGATTTTTAAAGGAGCACCTCAGAATTTTAGTTTTAAAAGAAATAATTCTTTACAATGAATGTAAAAAGTGAACCTCCTGATAGCGGCCTAGTTGCCTTTTGAAAACCAAGCCCTGGGGTGATTAAGGATTAGAGAGGGTGGAGTTAGAACAAGCCTCTGTGTGTTTGTGTGTGTGTGTGTGTACACGCATGCTCACATGCGGGTGTGCATTGTGTCTCTCTGCGGGTCCCTGAGGGAAGGGTCAGGTTAAGCCCAGTCTGGTAGAGCCAGCGTCCACCCCTGGCAGGCCCCTGGGAGGCCAGGCTGCTGCTCAGAGCTCCCCAGGGCGTGGGGGGTGGGGCTTGTGGCAGATGGCGCTTCCTGGAGAGCTGCCGGGGAGGAGCCTGTGTGTCCCTCCCTTGGATCTGTGACAGATTCATGTTGATGTTTTCTGAGGAGAAGCTACAAATGTGAATCACAGGTTTTGTTGTTGTCTGCTGAGGTGTGTGCTTCTCTAGTGTTGCTGGGTCTTCACCCACCCATCCTACAGCAGCCATCTCTGACCAGCCCCAGGAGGTTCCTCCCCAGTCACTGCGGTGGCGCCTGAGCTGGCCAGCCTGGGAACCAGCTCTCTGAGGCCCAGCTCCCATCTCTGCGTCCTGCACAAAGCCGGATACCAGTTGGCCTGTGTCCTTCCTGCAGTCTGGCGCACGCACGAGGAACACGGCTTCAACAGGCTTACACCGGGGCAGCACTAGGGGCAGGGCAGCCTGGAGGGGCCTGGGCAGGTGGGGAGCAAAGCCTGCCGAAGGCCTTTCCTGCTAGCCTGTCTGTGCATAGTGCTGACTTAAGATTCTCTCTAAGCGTTTCTGATGCCGTTGAAAACATATCCAGTCCATTTTTTCATTTACTGTTTCATTGCTGTTCAAATTATTAATGCAAATCAGGTCTCCCTTGAGTCTCTTAGCCTGGGACCAACCCAAGTAGCCTCCCCTGCTGGGCATGATACAAAGAAGAAGGCTCTCATGTTACATTTCGGGCTTTAATTAGTAGCAGTGTCATTTTGAAAATGCTAAGCACTTAGTTTAGTCATCCATGGACCTGTGTCAAAACAGCATTTTTGCTCTTAGGTGTTGACTTGCTGTGAGATGCCTGGCTTGTGTTTTTCATTTAGGGCAGGGGTGGGTGAGTATTCCATCTCAGGTATTGGCTAAACCAAAAGAAAAAACAGTGTTTTAAAAAATTTAAAACATAGGCCATATACTTTATTCCATAAGATAATCGTGATGCTTATCAGAGTGTGTGTCATCTGTCAGGCACTGCCTCGCAGGCAGGTCATTTATTCCTTTCTTTGACTTTATTTTAGCCTACAATTTTATTTAATACCCAGTTTGTAGAGGACTAAAGATTAAATTTAAAATGTCATGATCTGTTAAGGAAGAAGGAGGAGGGAGGGAAGGCGTGAGATGGGAGGAGGAGGGCCAGGTGTGGGGAGGAGTCAGGCACATGCTAGTGCCGGGAGTCGTCTCCTCCTGTCACCAGCCCTACCACGCACGTAGGTAGCCAAGGCGGTGCTGAGCACCCTGCCTTCAGACCCTGGGTCCGATTGTCAGACCTCTGGCCCTGCCTCCTTCCGAGATTCTACTTTGCACATGTTTGGGCTTTTGCACCTGTTGGGGCTGAGAAGTAATGGCCAGAACGTTCCCTGGACCTGTCTGGGATCTGATAAGGCTGGGGCTGAATCAGGTGCGCTAAGGGGCTGTTTCCTCGTTTCGAGGTATGAAGAAACGGAATGATGGGCTCTGCACACAGTTTTATACTTTGCCGCATTTCACTGGAGAACATAAACTTAAAATTCATGTGATTATGAAAGCAAAATTGGAATGATAGAGACAGATTAAGGGTCTATAATCTCTAACTTTCTGCCTCCCACCTCCGCCACAGCTGCTGCTGACCTGTGAGTGTGACATTGTTTCCTCGCTGGCTCATTTCTTGCTTTCCTGTCCTCGGGCCTGGCTGCCCTGTACTGAATTAGCCCACGTCCACCCTAGAGGTGAGAGCAGTGGTAGGTGTCACACTGCTGCTGAGCCCAGCACTGGGTGGTTGCTGAGTTAATTGTCGCTAAACAGGAGCCCTGATGGAACCCATTGTTACATAGCAGCTGGGGCTCTGTTCCTCCGTGACAGTATAAGCCAGGCCCTGCACAGATCATGAGCCAAGCCCGGTGCCCTGAAAGAGCCTGGGCAGCCCGTAGGTGGAGGGTCAGAGGCCAGGGGGCATCTCCTCTGTGTGTGGTGGAGTCTGCATTTAGGTGTTGTAGTTAGGGTCAAGTAGACAAGAGAGAGGTCAAGGCCATTGAACAGGTATTAAACATTACATGGATTAAATAATTTTATTTGCAAAAGGCATTGAAGTATAAATTAACACAAAGCCAAGCAATAATGAATTGTACTTGCTGAATGTGTGTTCTGGGTAGAGTCTGTGGGCTAGGTGTCTCAGAAAAGAACTGAAGAATTTTGAAAATTTTTTTTTTAATAGAAGTGTTTCGTGATATTTGTTGAGATTAGTAGGAGCAGTAGAATTGTTATGTATAAATATTGGTCTTTACTTCTATGTGTGCTTAATTTTTTTTTTTTTTTGAGACGATCTTGCTGTGTTGCCCAGGCTGGAGTGCAGTGGTGTCATCATAGCTCGCTGCAATCTCAAACTCCTGGGCTCAAGTGATCCTCCTGCCTTAGCTTCCCGAGTAGCTGGGACTATAGGCACTGCCACGCCCGGCTGATTTTTCTGTTTTTAGTAGAGACAGGGTCTCACTCTTGCTCAGGGTGGTCTCGAACTCCTGAGCTCAAGCTATCTTCCCGCCTCAGCATCTTAGAGTGCTGGGATTACAGGCGTGAGCCATTGTACCTGGCCTAATTTTCAAAAGACTATTTGGAGTATTTCAAAGAAAGTGTTATGAATCGATGTAGTGTTGGCTTAGTTTACAGAGTTCAGTCATTTATATATACTTATTTTTTATCCAGGATGTTCTTTGATTTTAGTTTTATCTTCCTTATATTTTTCAACAACAGGTTATGACTAACATTACTACTAAGAGGACTTTTTTTTAAACTTGGAGTGTGTATGTTTGAATATTTTTAGCCAGAGGAAAGTGTGAGTCATTCCAAATAAATCTAGATGACAATCTGAGAAACAGTATGCTCAGTACTTTATAATTTTTTTAAAATCTGTGTTTACTTGTGTGTGGGGGGAAAGTGTAAACAATGTGTTGATTTTATTATCCGTCCTGCAGTTTGTTTTTGACTCTGAGGTGCTGGTGATAGTTTTTGTCTGGGAGAGTGCAGTGCTGCTTTTTGACTGTGGAACAAGAATCAGCTCTATTTTAGTTAATAATAAGAATTTATTTCAGAAGACTAAGAACATTTTGACACCTTCAAGAATTTAAAAATACATTTTGAAAAGAGTTCGGAGCTACTTTCAATATTTCTTTGAGAGTGCCCCGGTTTTCATAATTATAAGTAGTCTAGGGTTTTGCCTTGTTACGTTTTCATGGATACGTTATATTAGGTGCTGAATGTAACAGAAATGTTCCTGGACTTGGAACTATGAAAAACATGTCTCCTTTGTCTGAAAAAAATTCAGAAAGACTGCTGCTGGCTTTTTCATTAGTTTTGACTGTGACATTTAGTCTTATGTGTGTAACACAGGTTGACTCAAACAGGTGGGACTTGTGTGTATTTTCTAGCCCTGTTAAACACTGTGCATTGCCTTTTTCTCCACCTTTTGCAGTATGACCTGAGGTCGTGAACATGGACTTTTCTCGGCTCCACATGTACACCCCTCCGCAGTGTGTGCCGGAGAACTCTGGCTACACGTACGCGCTCAGGTGAGTGTGCACCCATGGGGCGGCCTGTCGTTGCCGAGCCTGCTTACTGCCTGAAAGTAAGAGTCTATAAACTTTGTTATGCTACGGCTTTACTAAACTACAAAGTTGACATGGAAGTTGTGTGGTTGCTGAAAGTTGTGCGTTTCTTAACCTGTTTGTTCTGGTGACTTGGTGTTTAGTCATAGCGAGTGGCTTGCTGTTTTAGACCCCACCCAAGTGGTTGTGATCTTGAGAATAAATCTTTGTGGTTATGGCCAGTGATCTGTATTAATGGCTTGGTATTTTAAAGTTAATGGAAATAACAACCTTTTTGGAAGGAGGCATCATGCGATAATTTTGACTGAGCCTGAGGTTTCAAGAGGTGCCCTTTGTCAGATGCTCAGCTTTTTGTTTTTGTCCATCGTCCAATTTCCGAACCTTGAAGTTTGAGTCTTAGAAGTTGCTGACCTTCCCTTGACATTTCTAGTTAAGCAGAAAGGGTGATTGAACTGAAACTTGCGTATTAGAAAATGATAGGTTTGTGCCCAAGGAAGGTGCGGGTTGGGCGGGTTAGGGTGTGCCAGCAGCCGGGTGTTTGCGGCTCAGCAGGAAAATGCTCATGTGGTGTTTTCAATGGCTTATCTTCTGAAGTGGCGAAAACGTAATTGAAACCTTAAGAAAATTAGAAGCTATTTTAAGAAAAATACTTTTTAATAGTATTAGTCAGATCTCACATTTGACGATTGAGTTTTTATTCACAATTCTAGGCCACGCTTTCCGTAGCAACACACTGTTTTCGTTAAGAGTCCTATAGGGTTTTAGGGCAAAATGGGTGGCCAACTCAGGTAAAATTACTCTTTCCTCTGTGTTGTGGAGCATAAAAATAGTGATTGTTGATAATTTAGTTTTAGCTTTTTTGACTTATTTTAAATATAATTTTTAAAATGCCTGTCTGTTCTCTACCTTGGGAGAGCAACACTTAATTTTAGTGACGTTCACAGCCTGC